TGCTGGAACCACTTGGGTGTTTTGTTTTCTGGGTCTTTGTTTTGTTTTTTTCCAGTGTTGGTGGTGGTGATGAGAACAGACTTTTGGACCCCGCTGTCCACAGGAAGCAGTACAGCATTGCTTAATTAGAGTTCTCGGGACTTCTCTGCTTCCTTTCTGCCCTCCCCAACTTGTTTCCCCTTCAATATAGGTGACGTTACAAATCCTGAGAGATGTAATTATCTGGATTATTAAAGATTTCTTGAACTGCAAGGAGTTAAGCAAATTCTAGACAAAGATATTTGAAATATCTTGATTTGGAGCGAATCCAGAATTCAAATGTCATTTGACAGACTTTCTTCAGACTTCTCTTTTCTTGTCCTTAGAACTGCTAATTTGCGGCTTGAAATAGACTTCTCAAGATAGCGTATGGACAAAAATGATGGATATAACATTCTCATAACTACTAGTGACATGTATTAGGCTTTCAAGTATTAACAATTATCTGAAGAGTACATTTTTAGTCATAATGATTTTATTCCTTGCCAATCTTATGCACTGTCTTGCCTCACAACTCTCCATGTTTCCTTTTTAGTCTGAAACTCAGCATAGCAGTGCAGCAGCCAGTCAAGAGCATACTCCGCCTGTGTCCACTAACACGTCCATGAGTCCGCGGCAGCGCCGTGCCCAGCAGCAGAGTCAGAGACGGGCTCCATCTTCAACTGACTTTAACCGGGTACAGCAACCAAGAGTCAACATGAACCACACTGGATCAACTGTTCTGATTGTCCTTCTGACTTTTGCACTGGCAGCTCTTATATTTCGTAGAATATGTTTGGCTAATGAGTATATATTTGAGTTATAAGGTTGTTTCTGTTGTAACAGCAGTGGCTTGAATGCTTCGTTGAACATTCTGTATTGGGTATGACATGAGAACTGTTTACAAAGGTTACTTTTTGTATTTACGCTTAAGTCCTTATGAATGTTAATGTACCTACAGATACATTACTTTTAAGAAAAGTGTTAATTGAATGCCCACTGGATACTTGGAGAAACAGTGCAGTGGAATAGTAACATTAAGGCATGTGGGAGGGGAGTCAATTTGAGTAATTTATCAACTAGAAAAAGACAATTTAAAAAAAGCGGTTGATTCAGTTTTTTATGGAACATATAAATGCCATTAATCACCCCATCTAAGTTAGTATAAGATTTGACATTGGAGAAGGAATTCTAAAATGAAACACTACTATGTGTTTGTGTCCAGTGAACTCTTAATTTAGAGAGGATACAGTTCTGTAACCACTTTTATTTACCATGACACATTTCTAGAGGGGGAACACATATGAATTGGTTGTGATGCTGCTTTGTGTGTGTGAAAGGGGGAGAGGAGTAAGGGAGGAAAGAAGGGGCCAGACAACTATTTGCATTGTTTTGATTTTTATTTTTTGGAAGAAAGACTGGATAATCTTTTGGAAGATTTGGATGTCCTCTTCTAATACTCTCAATTGTATATCTTGTTTTGGTTTTTTTTTAAATTTTAAGATTATATAAAACATGTCTATTCTTGCAATAGTTATAAATATGTAATATAATTATTTACCCAGAGCTATTGTCTTTTAATTATACCAGAAATATACATAATGTGTTGAACTGAATGTTTCATATGTGGTTTTATTTACTAAAGAAAATTTAAACCTTATTATACTTAAACTCTCATATAGATGAACATGCTTGAGAAAAATATTTATTAAAACCTTGGTAATAATAAAGAGTTTCAAGCCAGTCTTCAGTTATATTTCAAGTATCACGTGGCCTTTTGTTTGTTTTTTTTTTTTTGTTTTTTTTTTTTTTTTAAAACCTAAAATCAGAACTGGAAACAGAGGCTTTCTGCATTACTAGTTTATCAAAAAAAAATAAACAACTGGTAATATTGATGAATGCTGTGAGGTCACATATACAAGCAATAGACCTACAATTGTTAGGGTTTTGGGAGGTTTTGTCTGTGAATGTTTTAAGTATTGCAGTGAAGTAGAAGAAAGCAATCAGTGGGATAATTTTCCCCTTGTATTATTGATCAGATTTAAATGTATTCTAGCATGTTTATTTCAAAGACAATGAAATGTAGCTAACTTTCATTTTGTTGCTGTCAAACATGATAGCCCTGACTTAAGTGAGGTTCTCATCCTGTTTCTGAGCAAGTATTTATGAAGCTATGAAGCTACCTACAGCTTTCCTAAATTTTGTTAAATATAAGTGTTTTGAAACATTAAAGTAGCTATAGCAACTTCTAAAATAAGGAAAGCCTGTTGTGTGTCTAAGGGGAATGTGGAAATAAAAAAAAAAACACACAGTTCTTTTTTAGCACTCTTGTGGATTGCTGATAATCTTGTTTGCAGGTACAATGGAACAAAGATCAAAAAATAGAAGCTCAGATAAATGTAGTTTATTCATCACTTGCATACACATTCCGCTGCAGAACAATTTGATGTCAATATATTAATTGATATGTTTTTACCTAATTTGTATATTTATTTCATTAGAAATTAAAAACAAACAAATTAAAAAAAAAAAACAAACCACAAAACCAAAATAACCCCACACCAAAACCCCCAAAAACCTCTCCAGCTCCTGTGTTTCCTAGTTGGTTTGTTGCTTGAAAACCCATTTTATTCAAGTGTTGCAAACCTGGGCTCACAGAAGAGAGTTCTGGAAGAGGTCTGCCCCCAAAGACAGTTTTGCTGGGTTTTGACCCGCTTGCTCCTCTGGAAGCTTTGCTCCGAGTGTGCTTTTCTTTTCCTAGAGACTCACTGCTGTGCCAAGCAAACTTTTGCTCTCATACCTGTACCCCACACTGGTTATTAGTAAAGCAGTGAAGTCTTCTGCAAAGAGGCAGCCTGCATTGCCCTTCGAATGGGCTATGAGAAAATAAGCTTCAAATGGTTTCTGAAAGCAGCCTCTTCCTTGTGGTGAAAGAAATAGCCGCTTTGTAGCTTTTCATTTTTATTTCAAACTTTTTTTTTTTTAATAAAAGTCAAAATGCCTGATTGTGCAAATACCTGTTTGAAAAAAGAAGTATTAATGGTGACTTGATTTATGTAAAGAGTCTATTGCATGTATAGATACTTTGGGGGTTACTGTGTTTTCATTTTCCTTTAAAAGTTAACAGTAAATAAAATCATTTTCAGAGGAAATAGCTCATCTTTTATCTTCAACAGCATAAAGAGGCAGAGTAAATTGGAAAATAAAATCTCAACTGCTGTAAAACCATCAAAATATGTGCATTTTACAGTTGTATACACGTCTGAAACGTGGCACAGGCGGTTTCCAGTGGAAAAAGATGCTGTGTGAAGGAATAGAAAATGTGGAAAGCCTAATGAAAAGGGACAGCCTGGTTTTACACAGTCTGGCAGAAGGATAGCACTGTCCTGAGATTAGGGGATTGAGCAAAAAGCCAGCAAGCAGAATTGCAGGTTTTTATATAATGGCTTTAGTAAATATCCTTTAGGACCCAGTGGAAATGTTTGGTGAGGCAAACTTCGTGAGTAATGGCCAATCATTAAGCCGTGATGAGGGAAAAGCTTTGCGTGAGAAGCTCCTGAAAGCCTGTCGAAACCATCACGTCGGGAAAGCAGCGTTTCTACCACCGATCGCCGACGAACGCCCGACGCCGGAATTAGAGTGGATTCGATGTTTAAACCCGGGGGGACTTGTACTACAGGAGGTTACTGGCCCAACTCCTGTTTCCAGCAAGATGCCTTATTTTGCAAAACTCCTTTTATTAATCTTTTGCTTAGTTCTTCTTGTGGAAAGCAGAAAGCACAGGAGGAGGAGGTGGACGAGGCAGCTGGAGGTGCAGAAGGCAAGGTAAGAGTTTTTAAAACACGTAAGCTTCTCTTCCTGTAGTGTTATAAATACATTGCTACGTAGACCTAAAAATCTGCCCCGTCAGTGTCTTTGTGTATATCATACCTGCAAACAGCCTTATAGGTAATGTTTTTTTGAATAGTGTCTGATACTATATTCAGTTTTAACTGTAAATGGACACGTTTAGTGATAACTAACTCTTAATGAGGCAGGTTTTGCAGATAAGTTGACCGCTTCAGCTTAGTAAAAATATTCTTAGCCCTATATATGAATTACAGAGAGAATTCAGAGAAGTTACAATTAAGAGATGTTCAAATCTGCATGTTGTTCCAGCACTGTTTCAAGAGCAGGTTATTTACCCTGCTCGCTGGGATGTCTGTGCTACTTACATTCACATGAAATTACATGTTGTTTTCTAACCATTTGAGGTGGGGGTGTTGGTTAGCATGTGTGGTATTAATTAATAACATATAAATCCCTGGAAGTTACCCAGAGACTGTAAAATTAATAATATATTTTGAAGAAACTTATGGAAACTTTACAAAAATATATATTTTAAAGTCAAGCAAAGGCATAAGAAAGAGTTAAAGGTCTTAGTAAAGTTTATTAGATTTACTGTTGCTGAGATTTGACTGGAGGTTTATATTAGAAAAGATAATCTTCCAAACCTGTCAGACAGTCCAAAGTATGTTATCCTTTTTTGTAGTTATGTCATCCAGCGGCAATTATATCTTACAAGATTGTTCATTGTTCGAAAGGCTCAAAAATAAAATTGGGTTAATCCGTCTTATCAAATGGCTTCACTACGGCTGTAAACCTTCATCGTTCATTTTGTTGGGTTTTTTGGTTTAACAGTCAATGCCTTTATTTTATAGGGAGTGTTGTCACTTGAACATTTTACAAAGTTGTGATATAATTGAAAGCAAAGAATGCCTAATATGCTCTCAGATTTATACCACTTATTGAAAAATACAGTAGCATATGCTTTTAGTGACATAAATGTTATAAGGCTGAAACAGCTAGGGCCTGAGCCTGAAATCCTAAAGCTAACTGAAGTTTTGCCACTGATTTCCACAGAATCTCCATTATTGAATGAGATCTTTCATTTAACTCCGACAGTTTTTCCAAGTCTATGTTCTGGGCGATGCAGGGAATTCAACAGTAGCATTTTCTTGCAAACCATTCACGTGTAGTAGAGATCATCTACTTGGAAGTAACAAGATAGTATAAATCTTTCTTTCAAATGTGACTTTATCCAAAAGTGGTGCCATTCTCTGGGTTAATAAGTTGTTTGAATATTTTGTACTTTATTTAAACATTGCAAAAATAACTTAAAATTTCTACAGCGCCTTTGTTTTTTGTGAAGTTGTGATAGAGTGGAAATCAAAGCACTGCTAAAATTATTTATATAGATCAATTTACTGTAAAGAATGGCTGATAGTATTTGGTTTCCTGTGAAGTAGTGCTTTTAACAAACAGTTTTCCAGCCAGGTGGAACCTGAGGAACTATATGTCTTTTTAATATATATATATATATTTTTACATTTTCTATGCAAACAGTGTACTTATTTGAAAGTACATAAAAGTAAGCATTAGGGGCAATTAAATGTGAACAACATTTTAAATACAGAGAATTCTGCAATATTGCGAAAAAAAAGTGTACGGAGCCATGACACTGATATCTTAAATTTCCAGTTACGTAGAAAAAATACACTTGTCTCTAAACCAGCAATGAATAGTGGACTCTTCTAGTAAAAGGAAATTAAAACCAGCTCCTATGCTGGTTTTCTAATCATGTAAGAGAAATGAAAACTGTCCTTTTTAATAACTGCATCGCGTTTTCTGCTTAGTATTTCTCTTGCTGACTTACCATGAGAAATACAGTAAATGTACTTTACAGTAAACGTAATAGGCAAGAAAATTTATTCCTATGTTTGGGAATCTACATTTGACAAGTTTGATATTTTGTGTCCTTCAAGGTGATAGAGCAACCTGATCGAAGGATCTTTATGTTGATTTCAAGAAGCTAGCTTGGGTTGTGCAAGCGCAGAACACCTTCAGTTCCGTCGTTCATTACTTGAACC